GCTTGTTTAATTTTGTCGTAGTTCAGGGCCAGATTATGTAACCTCGGGGCCTTGGATCTAAGGGATTCCAGGGGGATCCAGTCGTTCGACTGTGAATCCCAAATATCTTTGAGTTGAATGATTCCTTTCTCTACCCAGGCTCTCCCGAAGGAGCCCAGGCTGCCATCAGCCAACAGGGGAGTGCCCCCCTGCTGTTTAAGCAGGTCATTCTCAAACAAGATTTCATTTAACATTTGTGATTGYGAAGCTGGTTCGCTGATGCGGCCTGGCCTGATTTTGTTCCAGGCTGCCAGAATGTTCCTCCAAACTCTAGATTTAGGGTGCCTGTTGCAAAATGACTTKATSAGAAAGCAAMGCCATACATGGGAGGGGTGAGAAAGGCTCCACTCTTCCATCAGGATATATTCTGCAAAAGCTTTCCAAATTTCGTTGTCTGGTTCGAACATGGCTTRGGTAGGCCACTTGGCCAGGAGGGCTATGTTCTGCTGTACCGGATCCAGGATACCCAATCCACCCTCATTTCTGGGGAAGCATATCGTTTCCCAGGCCACCTTGCYMATGTAGCCCTGCAGATCCRAGGCGGCTGGTTTCCATAAATAGCGGGCAGCCACATATTTAATTCTCTTGTATGCATCCTCCCCCAACAGATGGATTGTTAGCGGAAACCACAGGATAGAGAAAGCARCTGATGAAATAACTAGGGCTCTACCGAAGAGCGAAAGTCTGAAGTTCCGGGACCACCCCAAGATCCTGGCCGTGACTTTCTCAACCAGGATAGCGTCCTGAGCGGCAGAACAGTTCGTGAGGGAGACTTAGATACCTAGAAACCTTTCCGAGCTATTAGTCGGGACTTGTTTAAGGCCCCAGTCCACGTAAATTATGAATGGCTCTGGGAGGAGAAATGCAGACTTTTCCCAGTTAATGGACGCTTCAGAGAGAACACAATATTCGTCTAAAACGCCCCTTAGAGATTGCATGGATGGTATCGTGTTCGCACAGGCAATGGTCAGGTCGTCAGCTAGCGCACCCCCCTTCCATTGTATCGAGTGGGGAATACTGAGACCGACAATTGCATCATTCTTTCTGATGTTGTTAATGAGGACCTCAAGTTGAATGACAAAGAGGAGTGGGGCCAGGGGGCATCCTTGCCTAAGGGATCTGGTGAGGGGGAAGCTCTGCGAGAGTTTCCCATTCACCATGACCACTGAGGACGCGTCTTCGTACATAGCCCTGACCCAAGTGCAGAAACCTGGGCCAAAGCCCATTTTTAGCAGCGTCGTGGATACAAACGCCCATCCAACTTTATCGTATGCCTTCTCCATGTCTAGGAGGAGGATGGCAAAATTCAGTTTATCTGTGCCCAGAATCTCTAGGGCCTGGACCGTGGATAGGATATTGTTGAATATGGATCTGCCTTTCACAAAGGCACCTTGTTCTATACCTATCAAGTTGGGGAGGATATCTGCAAGTCTAATGGCYATAGCCTTGGCCAGGATCTTGTAGGTGACATTGAGGACTGAAATGGGACGGTAATTTCTTACCTCCCTCTTATCCCCCTTTTTATAGAGCAAGGAAATAACTCCCTTCAGCCACCCTTTAGGAAGGGACCCCGAGGTAAGGGTGCTGTTAAAGATTTGACAGAGGAAAGGGGTGAATGCCTCCCATGCACAGAGGAACAATTCCACTGGCAAGCCATCAATACCAGGACACTTACCTTTGGCCATTTTTTCGGCGGCCGTGTGGAGTTCTTGTGGGGAGAATGGGGCATCCAGTCGATCTYTCGCTGTGGGGGAGATGACCGTCGGTAGTTCTTCCCAAAAGTTGGAGGAAGCGGAGAGAGCTGAGCCAAATTTGAGTTGAGGATGTCGGGTTGAGACTATATCCTTAAAGTACAATAACGCATATCCACACATGTCTTCCGTCCCCGTCGCCGTCGGTTCCAATGGGCTGAAGGGGTGCGAAAACTCATATATGACTGGCTTGGTTTGGCTCAGGATAAGGGCCCTAAATGTTTCCTTGGTCATTCTATCAAATACAACAAGACCTCTGACTTTGAGCCACAACAGCCAGTCTTCCTGTTTTTTAACCTYTATTGCTTCAAGGAGAGTGATGTTGTCCGCTCGTTTTTTTGACCAGTAGTGATCAGAAAAKACATCCTTTCYCATATTCTGCTCGGCGTCCGCTATCGCCTTTTGTGTCCTGCGTTCCACCCAAGACCTGCTTGCCGCCTTTATCCTGGAGAATGTTTTGAGTGTCGATGTGATGATGTACAATCCTGTTTCGGCCCAGGCCTGTTCATTYGGAAACARGTCCTTGGYTGTCAACCATATCATCATCYGTTCCTTGACCCAAGCTGGTATCCCTGGGTCCTGGAGAACTCTTGTGTTAAGCCTAAAAGGCGSCCGRACCTTTTCAAATTGTGATTTTGCTAGAATTTYCATTCCGACCGGGTAGTGGTCGGAGAGATGTTCRTTCAGGATGTCGCTCCAAATGCACCTGTCCCAAAYTGTCCCCCTAGCGAGAATGAAGTYCAATCTTCTTGTGGGGGGAAGGAACGGGGCTGCCGGTTTTGGGCCATACCAAGTGTGACCCGGAGTTTYTGGGTTTAATGTCCTAAAAACGTCCACCAGGCATTGAGCCTCCATGAAGGAGGAGAGCATGTGAGCGTCTGGTCTTATTGCTGAGGTATTGGGGGAGTCCAGCCCCGGGTTAAGGGTGGTGTTCCAATCGCCTGCAATAATGATATTCTCAACATCCGGAATGAAGGCTGGGAGGGAAGCAAAAAAGTTTGATCTGTCTGTGTAATCTACAGGTGCATATACCGACATCACCACCCAGTCTTCATCACCTACTGCCAATTTAACCCATACCCACCGACCCCCCGGGTCATGGAAATTGTCCAGGACCTCCACATCGAAGTCTTTGTGAATAAGGATGGTTGTACCACCCTTGGATCCCACGGCTGATAGTTTTCAATTTTTTGATTTTTTGATTTTTTGATTTTTTGATTTTTTGATTTTTTAATTTTTCGAGTTTTCGAGTTTTCGATTTTTTTTTTTTAATTACCTGTCGAATCTGGACAGGACGACCTTTCAGGCCTTTTTTTTTTTTTTTTTTTTCCGTCACAGGCTGGGAAACGGGCCCAACGTCCCTCACATCAATAACCACGGCCCGCAGGGATGAGCCAGGCTCTCCGGCCCCCGCATTAACCCCACCGTGGCTGAGCACCCGTTAGCCTGCAACGTCACACCGTAATTAACTCTAACAGGCTGCCTCCCTGCTCTCTGGGTCGCTAATGAATATCAGCAGGCAGCAGAAGTTCACGTGACTACAACAACAACAACAACAACATCCCTGACGCCGACAGAACCAGCATCAAACTCATGCATGACGATAACACCAACACTGCCGCCATCAACGGAACTTACGAAGTCCTGATGGGATGATATGCTTGTCGTTTCTGCCTAATCATCACCAATCTCGGACGATCCGACCAAGAACCCCGAGCCACCCAGGATCGA